TGAGATGGAGGTGGAGGTGGAGGGATGAGAGGTATGAGAGGACCCTCTTGAACATTTGGCGGTGTGAAATATGATAGATGCTATCAACCATTGAGTGGGTGAGTACGATTTCACTGCATACGGTTTTTGAGAATGGGTGATGTATCTAGCACTTTATATAAAATAGGCCATTGGCTAGCTACTGTTAAAGTTTTTGGTTGCTAAGGTTATCACTTACTACTCTAAATAGTTCCCCACCTTATTACTTTATTCGGGTAAACATTAATTCTCTTAGAGCGGAAGTCAAGAATCACTAGCTTAAAGTAAAGAATATTCCCCTAAGCAAGTCTAAATTTCAATTTTATAGCCATTTAGTTGCATACATTTAAATTAGCGAAGCTGCTTGTATTCCAATAATTTTTTAAATTACTTTCCCCTTTGAGGCTAGTTTCAAATTCGAAAACTTTTGTTGTTTTATGTCCCAATTAATTTATATCAAACTATCTTTATCGACCAGGAAAATAAAACGCCACTTACAAAGTAACAATGACATGATTAGTTGGACATTTAATTAAAATGGATCTAATTCTTTAATGAAGAAAATATGAGCAGATTTAAAATGGAAATGTTTTCGATAGCGACAGTCGTAATTTTTAGGCGTTATCAGTAAGGAAATAATAATAAGCTCTATTGATATAAATCCAAATCACCAAGCTAAAATGATTTAAATTGAGCGTAAAAAAATAGATAACATAATTTTATTGACATTAATTTTTAAATTAGGGCTAATTTTAGCCTGTAAAAAGCGAATTTCTTTAAGTTATAATTGATTAAAGCCTAATACGATGTACTTTATTCTTTATTTCCTTCGTACTCTCTTTGAAAAATTTATAAAAAAGCGAGAGCACAAAATATAATGTGTCTAATTTTTTGAATTTAATAATCAATTATAACATCTATGTAAGAATCATTAAGTTTGGAAAGCTGCCATAATTTTGAAAATGATATAAAGAATAGTACCAGGAAGTCTAATAACCATGAGATGTCGGAAATATCTTGATGTCTAACCGCGGGAAAATTATTAAGGTCAAATAATCTCGATTACTGAAATCATTCCTATATTCTCCAGTCCCTCCCCTCCCCCCACCCCTCAAACATGATTACAACGATTGGCGATGATATGCAGAAAGTTTCACTAACTTAAGTGAGAAATAAGATAACTACTTAGACAGCCTACCTAAATGATAGATTCAGATTTTCCAGGTAATATGATTGAAAAATTTTATCTGACTTGAATAAAATTTTATTAAGAAACTTTCACAAAAATTGATATCAATCTGCTTTACTACTTCATTTTAATAGTAGCAATAAATTTATGAAATCTTTTATATCACGGAAAAAATCAATACAGATGATTACTATATTTTGAACCACGGATTTAAGAAGTAATCTTTAATTGAGATAAATTTCATTGTTATACTACTACTTAAGGATAAAAAGACTTATATTTAGATAGCTAAACACCAGTTTATCACCTAAATGCAATAGACCTAATTTCATTTTAGTAAGGAAAAGAATTGAAATTACAAGCATCTATTAAAAAGCGGAAAATGTAGACTCGCAAATTTTATTTAAATTAACTTCTGAGTACGGGGTGTGCGATAGACTTACCTCCACGTGGTGTGCCCTGGGCAACGTATACTCATACGGCAAAAAAGTCTATTAACCGGCAGTTGACTTCTCACTTCAAGCTACCATAATCCCACTGGATACCATATTCTACCACTTCAACAGTACTCATCTTACCTTTTCTCTGCCTCTGTGTCTGTCTCTTTTACAACTGTAAACCACTCTTCTGTTCCCCATCCCTCGACTTTCTGTTACTTTGATGTTCTTCCCCCATGTGAATCCCGAAGTCAGCTAAAGGGCTAATGATAACTATTAAAACGCCTGCCATTTGAAATAAATAAATTTCTGAGTACTATATAAGACGAATCGTACGAAAGTGACGAATTGAAGATATCGACGAGTTAATTTTATATTTCGTTTGACAAATTTAAATCTATTTATAACATTTGTAAGCTGATTAGAACTAGATTTGGAGGATGTATGCTAGGCAACATCGCGCTTCTGAACCAAGTTCCTTCATCCGAAGTATCGAAATCTCACCTTTAAATGACACCGAAAGCCTTGATCCTTAAAGGCACATTTTGCATTAATCAGTTAGAAGAACAGCAAGATGTTAACTATCAGTTGTTTAAATGACGAAAAAAATATTAGAATTAATTAGCATTGATGGATGTTGATCTGCTTCTAATCAACTTTTGAAACAGAAATTATTTGGTTGAATGTATTCCTTTTGATAGTTGGCCTGTATATATCACAAACAGAGTTAACACTGAACCAAAATAAAACAGACTCAAGAATGCCCAAAGTTCACAGGTTTGCAAGGAGATTCTTTCTCTCCGCCATCTTCATTTCGCGTTCCTTGCGACGTATGCGTTCACTAGCCTCCACTAAGGCATATCGATTAACTTCAAATGTCCAGAATGATAGCAAAATCCACACCAAAATGAGAACGAGAGCCCAGATTGTGATGATAATAAGACCAAGGCAAACCTGCGTTGAAGAGGGGAATTTTATTGAGCTTGCTTCTATCTTCAGACGATAGGAGGCAAACGCTCCAGCCTGCCATTGATTGGGCACCTTTTGATGGCGTTTGTAACATAGGTATATACCCTCGTCGATTGTTTTGACTCTGCTGAACACAAGTTTGCAGTCCGAGTCTACGAATACACGCTCGCCAATCTCCGATTGTGGTTGAAAGGTCACACCTGCAAGTAAACATTAGTTCACCATAATTACTGCCAGAAATTTCAAAACCCTGAGTGAATGGACGAGGTTACTTTAAACCTAGTTGTAGATTCACATACCTCGCTGTAAATATGATAATTATCGGTTTATATGCAATGAATAAGGGGTGTGTGCATACTCATACGACCAAAAGGCCCACTATCTTACTGTATGTCATATTTGACCACTTCCACAGTACTTACCTCACCCTACTCTCTAACTTTGTATCTGTCCCTTGCACATGTGAATCACTCTTCTGTTCCCCTCTTCAATTTTTTTTAGATTTTAATGTTCCTCCCCTCTGTGAAACCCGAAGTCAATAAAAGGGCCAATGATAACAAACATAAAGCCTTCCATTTAATATAAATGAAAATGCAAAGAATAGCGTTCACTATCTAATAAAAGCAAATTAACTTATATATACTTTTAAGACACTTTCCCAAGCAAATGATTCGCCTTAGTCAATATAGAAGTCAAAAAAATAAAAATGCAGATTCAAACTTTAAATAATTGTTTTAGATATTAGTTTTTTACTTGCCGTCTCCATTCTTCCACATAATCGTCATATTCGCTGGATCTGTACAATTGTTAATAGAAGTTTCGCCATCACCTCCACATACGATTTCATAATTTTCCGTCTGATCTATTGCGACCTTTTCCACTTTCATATATCTCTTCTCCTCATACCCAAGCAGTTCCTGCTTCAATGTCTTCGTGTCCTTAGTTGATAAGGCCAAATTGATGATGTCCATGTAGTTAACTTCCGGGCAGGGTTGCTTAAAGGACATATTCACGTACAAGTTTCTCAGCAAGTATGGGCGAGGTATAATACCTTCTGAACTAAAGTGTCTAAAGTACGTATAATGGCAGGGAATATAAAGGTGCTGATTTTGAGGTAGGGAAATTTCTTCATCCTCTGGAATTCTCTCCTCAGGCAAGTCACTCTCCTTTGTCTCTGGTTTGCCATCATAGTACAGATCAAATCCCAGCTCAGAAGCCAAGCTTTCCGCAGCTTTTCGTTGAGTCTTCAAAACACTTGCATCTTCAGCCTCCGACCAAGTGTAATATGACTTAAATATTGTGACGAGTAAATCATAAGTCAATGCAATTGCCGGGGGGAGGGTTTTACGAACTTCTGGAGCTATGGAACGCGGAATAACTACGTAACATCGTCTATATTGAGTCAAAGTAAATTCTCCACAGCTTTGATCTGGATTCGTGATGGGAATAACTTTTGAGGTGATATCGATTGCTGTTGAATTATAGTTTTTAAAATCTTTGGAGTCCCTTAAATATTTTCCTGCTTCTGAGATTATTGAGTTAACGTCATTTGCAGATTTTACACTGAGAACAGTCTTAAAACTCGATGGAAGTTTCTTGAGAGGATCAGCAAACAAGTGAGGTGGTTGCATAACATCTACATGATACCATATTCTATTTGAGGCGTGAGTTCTATCGAGAATATGTCTACAAATGTAAGTTCCCAAATGCACATTTGGATTAAATTTTGGAATATAAAGGTCCAAAGTTTTATTCACAAGACATGGAATATCCGTTCCAGTGAACATGTCTTCAAAAATTTCTTTTTCAAAGTGACGCACTAGTTCTGCTTGCCCCCTGTTATCTTCCAGAAGTGCAGCTTCACTGCGAGGAATGAAAAACCATCGGAATAATTTGCTATCATCACTGGCACAAATCGGACATGATATTGTGACTTTTTGTTTATATTCATAATGGAATATCATACCCTGATGCATAAAACTAGCCAGTTCTTCACGTTGATTTAAACAGGTTGAAAGTCCGGCTGATTCTGAAGATTCAAAAACTTCCGGTTTGAGATCTTTGGGGTCTGTTCTTGGACAGAGTTTTAGAGGGATGTTTTGAGTGACAGCTGACTGACTCAATAGCATGAAGATAATACATGCTAATATCATAACGAATTTTATTTCAAATTCTTATCTAAAGAATCCGCTCAAATAATGAGAAAATTGTTATATTTTGACGAAATTCTTTTTAACTTTAGCAGTTTGTAAGTACTCGCTCCAACTTCATACAATATTCATGTTAAAGAATTTCGCGCAAACAAACTGATCGATATTTCATTTAACATAGAACAGCTGACAGAACAACGAATTATCAATTATCAATATTAATTAAAGTTAAAATAGTAATGGAATCTGACAGATTGAACAGTAGGCGATATCATACTCTCCTGTTGTTGGGATATCTACACTACTTATGGAAGATTACCTGGATTTTACTTATACTTTCTGTTTTATCATTACTCATGAATTTATGGAATAAGAAATATGACAGTGATAAGATAGCTTATACTGGTAAGTGTCTAAGACGGAGTGAAATATCTGATCGAATTTCCTCATATAATTTTAGTTGTCTGGAATATATTTAGATTTGTTGACAAGTAATGATGGAGACCCAGGTGTTCATGGAAATACACGACTTTTTGGAACACTAAATTACGAATGGGAATATCATAAGGTTAAAAGAGCTGATCACCGAACACTAACGGATGTCTTCCTTAATTTTAGCAATTTCCAACTCCACAGAAGTCTTGGTGACAGCTTACTCTCCAATTTTGTTCTCATTGTTAACTCAATGAGCATTAAAGTCACCTTCGAAGAAGTTCCAGAAGAACGCACTGTCAGGATGAAGTGCCTCAAGTTTGTCCAATGGGAGGGATTTAGTCTGGAACCAATAGAAGGAGCGAAGTGGGGTCGCCTTAAGTGGCTAATTCTGAAGACAGTTCAATTACTATCTTCCAACTTTATTGTTAAATACGCGATTCAAGTGACCTTGGCTGAGCGAGTAATGAGCGCTTTGGATTTTTATAGCTATCAACAAGAGGGGGAAAGGATGTTTATAACTACTGCCACTCCTAATAATGAACATTTGGTTTTAAAGCGAGGAAACTACGAAAACTAGTAAATGTAAATGCCTAAATGTACATATATGGCTCTCTTCAAAATAATCTCGATTTTTAATCCTCTCTACTATTTTTATTTCAGTAGAGTAGATCGGGGTTTCTATTGTAAAATGGCTTGAAGGCCTATTAGTTAAATTTGCCATCAAACAGAAATTAAATAAAATCCCAAATTTTCCGACATATTTATTAGTGTATTTGGAATTCAAACCATTACTGTTAGTTATTTTGGGGTCTTTTTGGACAAAAAATTATGAAAAGCATGTTTTTATACTCGGCTGATCATTAATAAGTGTTTTTGGACTATCAACTTTGTGACATTAGAAGACACAGTAAGGAAAGTTTAAGATTTAAATTCATTGAATGAATCCGTGTCTGCAATTTTGTTGCAGAAATTTCTAGTCCTGGAAAGAAATCGTCATGCTACTTTTGTACTAATTATCCCAAAAATCCCCCCCCCACTGCGAATTTTCATTAATTTAAGATCTAACAACAAATCCCCGACCACTTACTCATTTTTGATGCTATTAAGACGCCTACGTTTTATTTTTATAAAACCGGAATTTTTTCGCATCCACCGCAATTATTATGGGCTGTAAAGCATATTCATATTTTAGAAGAAAAATGTTACCTTTTAAAGATTGTTTTACCACGCTTGATACGTCGAATGAAATCTTCATTGAAAGACTAACTACTAACTACTGCCATACGAATAATAATAATAATACCGATTGTCAGTGCATGAATTGAGTAGTTAAAATAGGTAGTGAATTATTCCGTGACTACCGTACTCTAGGATTGGGCAGAAGCATTTGCAGAAGCATTTGGTGTAAATAAGTCTCTCAGACTAGAGAATTTTTCCATGTTCAAAATTATTTCATTTCGAGATCTCTTTGTTTTACCTCCAGGAGAGGGCAAAGTATTAGAGCAATTGGGGTTGGCAAACCTAAAGGTGGAAGGTATCTACTTATGGAAGGTCAGCAATGAATCATGCTAAGGCTTTAGTCTTCAGCTTACCTCATTCGTGAGCTCTTCAACAAATATACACTCAATTCGAGTGTAAACTGACAGACGAGGATAAATAATTAATAGCTATACAATTTCCAAAATCTTAATCTAGAATAATTTAGGCATTTTAACTTTATTCAATTGAAGTGATGACGAATAGTTAAAAATGTACCTATCGACTAACTAAGAGAAACTATCAGGCTCAAGGCAGAGTTTAAAAATAAATCGAGGGTACAGGAAGTAGACTAGGACGGATAGGGACTAGACAAGTCCATTAACGAGTTTGCATAAAAATCGAAGTAACCTTTGTGTCTATTTGAATGAATGGAGAATTTTAAGCGCGTAACTTAGAATAAAGGTCAGTTGTTGGGTAGAAGAAGAATACAGGGTGTCAAGGCATCCTATATCGAAATCATCCAAATTGAAACTTACATTCGATTAGATTATGGGACAACTTTTTTTATAGAATTCATAATTACTACACCATTCCGACAAACGGTTCCCATAGCTACGGCAGAGGTGAAGAGCTTGTGGAAGTCTGTGCGTGTGTGTAGGGGGGTGGGGGNGGGGGGGCGGGTTGGCGAGGGGGATTAGCATGCCATAATATTCTAGTTCAGTCTTAGTTCGTAATAGCATGTAACAATATTTAAAAGCCGGGGTGTGCGATAGACTTACCTCCACGTGGTGCCCCTGGGCAACGTATACTCACATGGCCGAAAAGTCTATAAACCAGCAGTTGACTTCTGTGTGTCATCTTCGTCTACTCTCACAGTACTCACCTCACCTTTTTTCTACCTTCTCTAACTTCGTCTTTGAAACTCTTCTGTTCCTCCCCCCTCTCGACTTTTTTCATTTTGATGTTCCTTCCCCTCTGTGAAGCCTGAAGTCAACTAAAGAACTAATGATAGCTATCAAAACGCCTGTCATTTGATATATATATATATATATATATATATATATATATATATATATGTATTCAAAAGAAAATGACCACTTACTATTCGACGTCAACTTAACTCCCCAACAAAAAAATTAACAAGTCGTGGATCTCCGATAAGCACTAATTGTTTGCACTCACTTTTGACACAATTTGTATTCAGGAAAAGCTAAATAATATAAATCATAATTAGGAAATGCTGAATACAATCATTTTAACATTTAGTTAAGCAATGAAAGCTGATTGGATAATTTTAGGTGAGTAGGGAAAATAGTAGGAGAGTAACAGGATTAGGTGCTTGTACAGTCTTTTAATGTGCAGTTTTTAATTGTGTATTAAATTGAATAAATGGATTAAAAGTTCCTAATGAGTGCGTTAGATGGCGTAGAGTTCAATAGTACGCTTGACAAAACGGTCTATTTTGTAGCACACTTTTTCTCTAAATTCAGCGAACTTATTTGGCAACATTTTCTTCATTTTCTTTACAATCTCCTTTCGAATAAGTTGAGTGAACAACCCATTGTTAACAAAGAAGCCTACAATCTTGTTAAAGGTGCCTTCGCCTTTGATGTGAACTCCTCCAAACTCCCTCAATTCGACGTCTTCAACCTCGGCACTGAAAGTGACGTCACAAGTGGAACTTAGGCTAGATTTCGACGAGGATTCCAAAAAGGGTAAGCAGATTTTAAGGCGAGTTTCCAGCAACAGAGGATCAATTGTTATATTTACATCATGAAACTGAAATAGAAAACGCAGGTCAAATATCTCATTTCAAGATTAATGGACTAGCCGCATGCATGAGCGCTGTCCTAGTTTGAGTCAATATTTTGCTGCAGACAATCGAAGTTGAAGTTGTTCAACATGAACAAGGAAATCTCTTCAAATGTCGTTTTATCATTATAGTGGATCAAATATGCCTCAAACTACACTGTCCTTTTAAGAATCTGTTCTTCTTGCCATTGTCACATCAATTTTATTTTCACAAATACCTTACGACCACGTTTCCAAGTTTACCATTAAGTTCTTAACGAATCTTTTCTAATAGCGTAAAGTAAATGCACCAAAGATGTATCAAAAGTGTATCCACATATATTTGGTTGAACCAACAACAGAAACGTCAAATCTAGATGACGAAGAGTACGAAGAGCCTATCTCAGCATCAAAAAACGATGAGGTTATATGGAAATTGCCATTAAAGTGGAATTTGAGAAAGCACTAAGCTTAGAACCCCTGAAGCTCCGATAAGACAGGGTTCCCTCGACTCCTTTACTCTTAGTCTTAGAATTTTAATAATTTCTACACGGATATGACTTGTGGAATACGGTACCTTAGTGTTAAAAAAGGTATTGATTCTTGATTGACCCTCCACAAGAAGTTTTTCGAATCCGACACACCATGTTATGCTGAAGCACCGAGTATGCATTTGCCAAGCATTTTTGAAACTGCTTGTTGTTGGCAGAACTTTCACCCCAGGCACACATCCGACGTACAGGGACTTCAGATTGAAGATACGAACATTTTGCAATTCGACACTCTTCCAGCTCATGACATTCTTCAATTGATAATAATCCCTTCCCGCATGGAGTATATTCATTCCATAAGTCTGCAGAAGGCGCAGAACATCGAGGTTGCTATTTATTGTGTTCTCCGAGGCCTCAAGTTTTATGATCACCAAAAGAAGAATAACAAGGGAAGCTGAAACATAAGCACAAAACAGTTCAGGGGGGGTTTGGGGCTTTACCACCAAACAAAGTAGAAAACCCCTGAATATGGACAGTTAGCCTTCAGTGAGGAAATTTGAAAATTTCAGTCATTGAACTATAGATTTCCGCATAACCTCCGTTTTGGTTGGCACTCTTATATCCAAACCATTGTTGTCTTACCTTTTATTAGTGCCAAATTTTGAGGCCTATTTGGTAAAAACGGTACTAAATGTTATAATTTTACAAATTCAAATTTTGAAGAGCAGTTCCAATGCGTTCTTACATTTGGAATTGATTAGAATGTGAATACATAGGTGCATCATTATCACCTCTAAAGCGTTTTAGGGCCTCTGGTATAGGGTGAAATTTGGAGCTTGCATAAAATTTATCATAACGCTTATAATAAAAGAAAAAAATCACTTAAAATCTGAGGAAAGAAGTCGAAGTTAGCCAATGGATTGTCCCCCAGGTGCCGAGATCAATTCCAGGGTACTGCACAGTCTTACTTCATTTAAATTTTGGAATACATTTTATAGTTTTTACCAAGTAGATTGATCGCGTTCCAAAATGTGAATTTCACTAATCATTTCCCAGATTGTAGCGAATGCTTGTCTTCGATTTACCGGCCTAATACATCGGTTTTAACTGATGAGACTGTCTTGTTGAATAAATTGATTTTGATTGGGTGGCTAACGATTTGCTCTCTTAGCAGAGATGAGATAAATCTGAGAGGTCATTTTTCACTATATTATCGTACTAACATTAACGATAAACGTGCGAGTTAATTTATTCATTGAATAGGGGAATGATGGAAGTTAATAAACTTTATATCTGCATTACACGGGGTGTGCGATAGACTTACCTCCACGTGGTGCACCCTGGGCAACGTATACTCACACGGCAAAAAGTCCATAAACCGGCAGTTGACTTCAAACAACCATGCCCCCGCTGTATGTCATATTTGACTACTTCCACATTACTCGCTTCCCCTTTTTTATACCTTTGTGTCTGTCTCTTTATTCCACCCCCCCCCCTCTCGACTGTTTTTCACTCTGATGTTCCTTCCCCTCTGTGGAGCCTGAAGTCCACTAAAGGGCCAACGATGACTATAAAAACGCCTGCCATTTGATATAAATAAATATCTGCATTACACTTTAATATCTTAACATTATTAACTTAAGACAGCTCAAAAATTAGCAAGTAGCTAAAAAGCATTTTTTTCAATTCTGCAAATTGCAGAGAAATAGAATAAAACTTTTCGCGTTTGAGTATTTTGAAATGCTGAAAGCACACATTGAAAGAAAGAATTTAGCTGTTGAGGGAATTATTGGTCAAGTATTGTGCTGAGTTGGTGCTTGCAACTTGACAGTGATTCTCGCGATCGTGTAATTTGATCCTGACAGGTGACACATTCGTAATTAAGCAAATTAGAAAACGAAGATTTCGAATTTAATAAAGTTTGCCACCTTTAGCGTGACAAATCTCAATTCCGTTTATGTAAAAACGAAATTTAAGATGAAATAAAGCTCACATTATACACCATTTGTCCCAAAATCGATACTGATCGTTTCAAATAATAATTGAATTTAGGGTTTTATTTTAAGTTGATCTAAGGATGCCCAAGAATTATAATTAGTTCCATTTTTATAGGGTGAAGAATTATCAAGTCGATTTGTATCTGTTAATTAAATCTTTATTGTCGATAATTTTCGTGGTAAATAAGTATTAAACAAACTTTGACTTACCAGAATTGCAATTACCCCTGAAACCTCTAGCCATGTTGCCTTATGTGTGAACGAAATTCCAAGAGCCAATGCTTTTATCTAGATCCATAAATGCCATTGGCACGGCCGCTATTTAGGGAGTCTGTAGCTTTGCGATAAAGTAAACAGTTGAACACCATTTTGATTGGCGGTCGCAACGACCTTTCACTTTAATCAAATCAGATATATCGGGGAAGGGAGAAATTCGGCTCAGTTTTAACTACTTATTTTTTATTTGAGTAGCCACCTCTAACATGTGCCTAAGGCTAAGTAAGCCGTTTGGATAAATTTGATAATGAAATAGGCTGTTTAGAAACGCAAAAAAGGTCAGTACAATTAAATCTTTGCTTCAAATTTGTCTGGGCATAAAGCCGCCAATATTCTTTTCTGCAAGAAGGATAATAAAACATATTTAGAGGGTGTAATTATTCAGTCATATTGTCGGTAAAATGTATTCTCTGCTTCTGTTTTTCACGGTTGCGTTCCTTGGCTCGTCGATTCTTGAACCAAACCTGAATTCGCGATTCCGGTAGTTCCACCTTCTCGGCCAATTCTTCACGAGCACTGATGTCGGGATACTGGTTGATGGAGAAGAATTTCTCCAGAATCTCTTGTTGTTCTGAGGAATAAATTGTCCTTTCCCGGCGAGTTGAACCTTGGACTAAACAAAGAAAACTGCTTGGCGTACTCAAATTTTACGTTTAAGAAGGCAAAGCTTGTTTTCTGCTGATTTGAATTAAGTAACATTAATAACGAAACCTATTCGAAGTCTATATATATATATATATATATATATATATATCGATTTTAAAGAAACTGAATTGAAGTTCAAATTAGCAGCCTCTTGATGGTGTACGTAAACCCTCAGAAATGTGATAGTATTAAAGAAAAAGTCGACTGACTTTAATTGGTAAATTATTGGGTTGGCAACTAAGTCATTGTCGTTTTTGTTGATAGATTCACTCTATACTTTCTTTTGTTTTGTTAACGTGGCCAGAGCATCTAACCTATATTTTTTTCTTACTGTATGGGCTTCTAGGTTAATTAGTAAAAAAATTTTTTTTTGTTTAGTTCTTTAGTTTTGTTTTTATCCCAATTTAAAAATGAAAGAACAGGACGTGCACTTCCGACACATTTTATTGTATTACTTCCGAAAAGGCAAGAACGCATCGCAAGCACAAAAGAAGTTATGTGCCGTATATGGAGATGAAGCCATGAGGAAGAAAGGCAGTGTCGAAATTGGTTTGAGATTTCGTTCCGGTGATTTTTCACTGAAAAATTCACAACGATCTGGCCGCCCAGTCGAAGTGGATGAAACCCATATCAAGGCCATTGTCGATTCAAATCGCCACAGCACAACACGAGTTATTGCAGAGAAGCTGCTCAATGTGTCGCATACATGCATTGAAAAAAAATTAAAAACCCTTGGTTATGTCAAGGAACTTGATTTATGGATCCCTCACCAGTTAAAGGAAATTCATTTGACGCAACGGATTAGCATCTGTGATTCGCCGCTACTGAAACGCAATGAGAATGATCCATTTCTGAAGAACCTAGTTACTGGCGACGAAAAGTGGATAGTTGATAACAATGTTACTTGCAAGAGATCATGAGTGAAGCAAGATCAACCAGCCCAAACAGTATCAAAAGCAGAGATTCACCAAAAAAAGATTATGCTGTCAGTGTGGTGGGATCACAAAGGAATTTTGTATTTTGAACTCATGCAGCAGAACCAAACGATAAATTCAAATGTGTATGTTGAAGAACTGGAAAAACTGAAGGATGCAATTGAAGATAAGCGGCCGGCATTATCAAATCGGAAGGGTGATGTTTTCCATCATGATAACGCAAGGCCCTACACATCTTTGTTTACTCGGCAAAAATTATTGGAACTGGGTTGGGATGTTTTGTCACACCCACCCCATATATAGCCCTGACCTTGCGCCTTCGGATTACCATTCGTTTCGTTCTATACAAAACTCTTTGAATGGTAAAATTTTTAACAACGCGGATCATGTCGGATCACACCTAATTCAGTGTTTTAATAGCAAAGACCAGACATTTTACGAACGGGGAATTTTTACTCTGCCAGAACGACGGAAAAAGGTCATCGACAAGAACGGCCAATATCTAATTGAATAAAGTTATATTTTTAAACAAAAATTCCGAATTCGCCTTCTTATTTGAAATCGGCAATGACTTAGTTGCCAACCTAATAGTAGTAGGTGCGATTTTTAACGCGATTTTATTAAAATTAATGAAGCCAAACTGCATATTTCCTCATTCCAAGAAATTACGGCACCGTCTTTCAATTAGCGCAGTCTCAGACCTCTTTGATTCGTTTAGCATGTCCATATCCATACATTTTCTCACATGGGGAAAACGCCACATTTATCAAGGTTTAGCAACTGCCAGACACATACAATAAATCTTCCGCTCTTTTCCTTGTTATCAAGGAAGACTGACGTCGGTGATACTGATTGGACAATTTATTCAACCTTGTGTCATAGGTAATTGAACGCTAGCTGTTATCTCATGTACTTAATTAATTTTTGTTTTAATCAAAGCGGACTTTTCTCAGAGCAAAGGCAATCATGCTTACTTTAATTAGCATCATTCAAGCAGAAGGAAATATTAATCTACAAGGAATTTCAATTTAATTTATGCTTTTGTTGAATGCTAACGTTTAAATCTAATATATATATATATTTCACACCTGCTTTGCCCTTGATAAATCCAGAGGGAATTCAAGGGTTGGGAGGGATTAATCGATTAAATTATTTCAAATGGAAGTAATCAAATAGTGCACAAAAATATGTTCGTAAATCAATCAATTACTAATCCTTGAAATATCGTGGATAGACATTTGTGCTCCAGGATGTTACATAATGATATATATCCCTTTTGAAGGTAAAATAGACTACGCAAAAAAAGATAAAACAGATAGTTAACATTAGAAACAAATTTATGAATGGCAAACATTATGTTTACCGAGTAGCATCATCTATAATCGCGGTTAGCACACAAACAAGATATTCCCTTTAGAGAATAGCCATTATTAACGCTTGATGAATCTAGAAGCATGCATGAGAACTAAATTGTGAATATATATATATATATATATATATATGTTTTGAAATTAAATATTCACGCAAGGATTTAGGCTCACATTGATAAAATTTTATATAATTCCTAAACCTATATCTACTTTAAATGAATTGAAAGGCTTATGACAAGTGAGAACTAATATTTTAGCAACCTCAAATCGATAAATCACATATCTTTTATTAAATTATCGTTTTTTTGTCGTGAAATTTACATATTTTATAGAAATTTTTTATCTAAATGATATATTTGAGATTATTTACTCTGATGGGCTTTTAAGGAATCCATATTTTACATTTTTACCTACTGATGTGAATCAATGCATCAGCAATTACTGTGTTTCTAAGTTTCGTATTTTACCGCTCAAATATTCAAATTTTGATATTTACCCCTAGTTTAGTGATACAATTATTGCTTGCGGCTCGCTAAACTTATTGGGTGACTAAGTACTTCGAATTTTTGACTATATATTTTTGGATATATTTTTTGCTTTCATTATCTTCTATATCAGCAGGATGACATAAGTTTGCGGCAAAAAAGTCTATTTATCGGCAACTGACTTCTCACTTCAAACAACCATCACCCTCACTGTATGTCATATTCGACCCCTGTCACTATTCATCTTACCCTTTCTGAGCCTTTGTGTCTGTTTCTTTTACATTTTTGAAACATCCTTCTATTCTCCCTCCTGAATTCTTCTCACTTTGATGTTCCTCCTCCCCTCTGTGAAGCCCGAAGTCAACTAAAGGGCTAATGATAGCTATCAAAACGCCTGACATTTTTTATAAATAAATAAATTGTTAAATAGTTTGCACGAATTTGATGAGAATAAGGCTCTCAATAGGTCATTCAGAACGCATGAAAATTCTTATGTCATCGAACAGAATTCTGTTATCCAACCTTTTTAAAGAGGTCATCGATGTTTCGCTATTCGCTATCAAAGATAAAATGATCTACAGAACTAAGGAAGTGGCAAAATATTATTTACAAAACTTGAGACTACACACAATTCAAACTTCCTCTACTAGTCATGATAGATTAAATTTATATGCGCATATAGTTGTAAATATGAATACCTATAACGGGTATTTCAAATGATCTGGAAAAGTTTACTATACGATTGCAGAATTGCTGGATGTTGCAGTCAAAAAAGGAAAAATTCGCTAATTCACCACTCAGTTTTGTCAACTGATTAATAGGGTCATAATTTTGCAATCTAGGGGCGTGCGATGGACTTACCTCCACGTAGTGCACTCTGGACAGCGTATACTCATATGACAAGAAGTCCATAAACCGGCAGTTGACTTCTAACTTCAAGCTACCATATTCCGCCACTTTCACAGTACTCATCTTACCTTTTCTTTGCCCCGTGTCTCTATCTCTTTTACATGATTGAATAATTTTCTGTTTCCCCCCTCTCGAATTTTTCTCACTTTGATTTTCCAAATAAACAAATAAATTAATAAATTCATCTAGTAGATTAGCTCTGGCCTTTGTAACGCCTACCGCAATCTATTTAGCATCAAAAGTCAAATATTAGAGGATTTAGAGTGAAGGCTTACCTCTATTGGCAGTACCATTAGCGATTGTTGATTGGTGTTTCCCGGACTGGCTAATCTCACCTTGAACAGGCTGGCGTCTCCACTGGTGCTGAATTAAGTCGAACATTTGCGGATAAGGGCAATTTTGTTGTCTCCTCTGACATCGATTATGATATTGCAACACTTTGGAATGTAGATTATTTGAAGTGGAGTTAAAGTGTTGTTGTGGGGAGTTCGAGTAGTTTGAATAGGATGTATAACCACCTGTTCCATGGAAGGCATTCCACAAAATATCCCCACTCGAACCATTCACATTTTGTGATGGCCTTGGTGAATTGAAAGACACTGAATTTTGAGGTGTAGGTGACCAAGTATTAATTGGATTTGGAAGTAAGTCATCAGTAGTCGGTTGATATGCTGCCTGCAAAGAGGTAAACATTTTTCCCATAACTGTAGGCGAGTAAAATTGAGTTAATAAGAGTTATGTACATAAATATATATATATGCTTACTTTGCCTGCTTCTGTATAGGACGGCGAAAGTGGGGATCTATGATTTGTCATGAAGGTCAAATTCTGCATAGAATCGTAGAAAGGCGAAGTAAAGGCCCCATTTGGTCGATAAGGATTAATTTGAGCTAGAGTATTCTGTAAGTATTGAAAGGAACAAAGGATGATTGCCACACACAGTTGCGTATTTCAGTCATGCTGAAATGTCTCACGAGTAAATCGTACTACACTTAGTCATCACACTTAAGGAGTTTAAAATTTACCTGATTTAAGTAATTTGTTGATCCTGAAGTGAAAAACGGTGGGGACAGATCGGTGCGTGAAAATTGATTTGAAACCTATCATAATTTGGGAAATAATTTTCACTTCAACAAATCTATTGTATGATGGATTCTAAAAATTTAATTTAATATTTTACCTCTCCCCCTTGAACTGAGTAGTTTGGAGAGGTGGAATTTAATCGAGTTGTANCCCCCTTCACCCTCTACCCCACCGCGCCACCCCCAATACGAAAGAAAATTCTAAGTGTAAGTATATCTCACGCTTTCTCTGCGTGTGCTATTTGCGCAATTAAACAGCATCAGTAATAGACAAACATACAATGATAACTGCCATACATCATATGATAAATTTTGTTCATTATTGATAAGTTATGTGAAAAGAAACATGCCACAAGGTAGTTTGAGGAAGTCAATGGAAATATATTTATTGATTTATAAAGAAATAATCAATCGACTGGTCGTGAGGCTTAGTATTTTGCCTGAGTGTATTCAGGATTTTGTTGGACTATAGCGCTTACATTAACTCTTTCCCTTGATGGAGCCGGCAGTCATATCAAAACAATTGATCGATAAGACCTTGATCAATACTAAAAGGTCGAAAACATGAACTTTGCGTTTCGGAGCACAGGGAGAGCACTGAAACAGTTGATATAGCCTTTTTTGGCACTTCCTTATTGGTTCGCTTCTCCCTATTCAAATTTTAGCTTTTCAATAATGAGAAATTGTGCTACTTCAGTGCGTTGCTATGGATAGCATTGACTAAATTTTCTTGTTTACCATTAGTGTTTCAGTCAGATATGAGAAGAACTGACCCTTTCATTACCGAGCTCTGTTTGAGGAATCAGCCATTGTCAGGATCTTTCAAATGAAACTAAGTTTTGGTTATGACATAATCAAACCTTCAAATAAAAATAGAAACAGGCCAATGAATTCTGATATTCGAGAAAACGATTCCACTCAGAAATCGTAGAGAAAATAAGGTTACATTCGGAAAAGTTGGGTTGCATATGAAGTTTTACTTTTCTTATCCACTCTGTTTGAAAGCTTGCAATTAAAATCTCCTTCAATTTTTATTTGGACAAGCAAGGTTGAACTCACGTCTCCTTGAATGTTTCCTGCGCTTCCCTGATGATAATCCGTAGTATAATCAAGAAGTCTTTGAAGGTGATTTGTACGTGGGTAGTAATTTGGTCCGTAAGGATTTGTCTCGTTTGGATTAGAATGGCGTTGAATATGATCGTCAACTCTATCATCATTTTCCATATTAAAATCTGAAGGTGGAGTATTAGGGAAGATTAGCTGATTGAAATGTGTAATCCCTAAGGGGATAAAACGGATTTAAAAGTAGAAAGAGGAAGGGAAACAACGTCTTACATAATCGGATAAAATTGAGGCAATTTGACTCTTGCTAGTAGTGATCGAATTTGACCAACAATGTCTGGGCTATAAAGTTGATTCTGGGAGATTTGTTATTGAACTGCTAAAATTTCAAAATTTAAAAATTGAGCATTAATTGTGGGTGATGTTAATTGAAATTCAGTGTGCGGGATAGAACCTACCACGTATGATTGGCTAACGCACATTTTAGCCAATTGAATCCTAGCGGTAATTCTTGGTTATAAACCAATCAGTAGTCACCATTTTTCCTTTATTAATCTAGACAAGTGGAAAGCTTTTGTTTGAGTGAGAGATTTATCACCTGGATGAAGTTGATTATCATGATTACAAGCAAAAAATTAAAGTCAGTAATACATACTTGAAAAAATCTAAGACTCAGTGTATTTGAAAGTAGTGCTGTTAGAAAAATAGGTGTACATGTTCTTACTGCGAAAGAATTTGGTAAAATGAATCAAGTTGCAGTCTATTGTCAAGCTTGCTGCACAACTGGCCTGATTATTGATCAGCAGGTTCTCATGTTGACACCTGAGTTGACGTCGCGATGATGCGCTTGGCAGATTTTTCTATTCCCCCCCCCCCTTAAAAATGCAGACGGGGGGCTAAAAATGTTATTTCATTAAAAATGGCATAATTTTGCATGATAATCAAATGAATTTTTTACTTTGCTAAGAAAACTCAGCGTCGGTATGTCGAATATTTATTGAAAAATGCATAGATTTTATCTCATTTCTGTCTCTTTCTACTTATATCCTCTTTCAGCGACTTTGCCAAAAATAAGTTGAAGCTGTAAGTCAGTAGCTGAAATAATAAAATAAAATTAATATCTACGGTTAGATAAAGTTGAAACTGGATCACATATATGATTTCAAATCTCATTATTTGTCCCTTAGGTAATTAAACAAGTTTCTCGTCCAGATATTTTCAAATCACTTTTCATTAATGCTGTCGACAAAAGATGATACTTTAATGTTCTTAAATCCCGGTAGAGCACGTCAATCGATATTAGAAGGCAGTATTAACGTTAAAAGAACCACAATTAATCAATTGAAAAATGCTGGTGATCTATTGCCAGACAAATGCAAAAAACTGCTTCTGTGGAAGTGGTCGAATATGACATAGGGTGGGAACTTGGTGGTTTGAAGTCAACTGCTAGTTTATAGGGTGCACCACGTGGAGGCAAGTCTAACTCACACACCGAGAACCAAAATTATTCAACTGGAAAATGCCGGAGTGGGGCTGGGGGGGGGGTGGAGGTCTTTCCCCATTTTTCAGTTCCGAGCGTTGGTAATTTCGGCCATTGTCAGACGAAAGCAAAAGTCTACTTCTGAAATATGGGGTCACGAAAAGACAGAAAAATGGAACCTTTCGATTCCGAAAACGAATACCATCTGAGCCTTATCTTAACCTAACTGTCTTGATTACTAAAGCCACGAAGCTTTTAGGGATAAAGTACTGCCAATAGGAAATTCAGTTTTGTATCAAGAATATTTGATCCCAGAACCAGAATTTTTTATATATTGATCATCATAAAGTAATGTATCTTAAACGTTTCTCCGGTATGATTTAAGCCTAAATTAGTTGCTAAAAAAAGTAGAAACTGATCTTGTTAGGTGTAATTTTAGGAGCTGTTGAAAAAGGATTAATCAGTTTCTCCCAGTTCAACTAATTCTTATTAACGAAAATAATTAAATTGCTTTAAAATATCTCATAAAACACAGTAAACTGTATTGCTTATATTTAATTAAATGCACAATATATCGCATTACATAATCTCATTTTGACAAAAGCACCAAAATAGGCTCCTTGTGCTCAACTTGGAGAAAATTCAGTGAAGTTTTAAGTGAGTTAACATTTATTTAAACTCAGCACACGACTTTAATCTGCGATGGAATATATATGACAACTGCCCTAGTTTCCAAATAGTAACAGTTGATATGATCTTGGGTACTCAAATTAACTGAATGAAATTTTGAGTGGAAAACGCCAAATTAACGAGCAGTATAGAAGAAATTTCATCTTCACGATTGTTCGAATAAAGAGGTCGAATTGACTTCTACCTGATTAAATAATATTTGCCGATAAACGCAGAATGCGATTGGCCAACATCGACTGTGATCGTAGAATTTGAGTTTCGGAAGACCAAGTGGATATAAAGTACATTAAACGAAGTAGGATTCTTTTTTGACCTTGACATTGCTGTCTGTATCTTTTAGATCGCCTATTCTTGATAATTATTGATGCGTCTGCTAATCTAAGTCAATTGGTTCCTTCAATCGAAAATCGCAAGGTATTTCGTTAACTTTGCGGCATTACTACTGGAATCCCCTTCAATGAAATCTGGTAAGCAATATTTTGTTTAAACACTAATTATTAGTTTCATCAACCTTCTATTGGGTATACCCATGAAAAAATATAAATGGGTAGGTTGAGTGACCAGGAAATTGAAATAACCAATCAAAAATCTGGGTATACAGTAGATGAGAACTAACCCAAGTCCCTAGGCGTCGGTATTGGGCAAAACAAGCTCTACCTCTTAATGCGAACATGGATAAACCCCCCGACACCCCTTTTTATAGTCTATTTAACGTGCATACATCTTCTCCCATTTTCTAGTACTTTCTGAATTTTTCCCCACACTACTGGTGGGAGCACTAACAAGCCTGCAAGTAAACTCGACCTTCTGATGAATCAGGAGGGCAACTATTTAGTTTGTCCACCATAATTAACACCTGCTAAATACCAACGTGTCGCTTGTCCCATCGTTTGTGAGTGACATTAATCCTTCCAATTAGTTGTCAGACTGTGAGTAAAATTACAGTGGCAACTAATTTTGAGAACTAGTTCACGCAAGTTGTTTGAATCTTTCTTAAAATCGAAATAACCTCCCTCCACCCCACCCCACCCCCGCTCCACCCCACCCTCTCTTCACCAAAATACTACATTAAAAGCTAATCTCAAAGACTTGAATCTAACAATCAAATTTTGAACGGTCCTGCTCAATTGGAATATGTCGACATTGAGTAACCAGAATTGTGTCAGGCTATTTTTGAATGCATTCATAGGTCACATCTCCCTCCACATGGTCGTGTTAATGCTCAAATGAATCAAAGTATTTGGTGCAGACAACTAAATCATAAGGTCTTGAATGTCGTAGACACGGCCTCACCCAGTCACTCAGTAGATGATCAGGAAGTGGTAAGCGTAAAATTTCGGCAGTTAAATGAAGTTAGGGTTTTTTAAAAATTCTTTTTGTTGTTATATTTCTTGTTCCCTTACTGTCTAATAAAAAAGATTAAAGTCTTGTAGGCGTTACTGTGGGGAGCAAATAAGTAGAACTATCGGGTATTTGGATGTCGCAAGAACTTCAAACACCCATATGATAAATAATATGTTTGATATTAAATTTGTGCTGACAGATTGTTATGGGATTTCCATTTGAAAAATTACATTACGTTGTTCTCTCAACAATAAATTCTTAACTTTAATGTGCACAAAAGCTTGACCAATGCTCTATTGATGTAATAAATAAAATAATGAAGATAATAGTGCCATATTTAGCCAAAATTGTCAAGTCTCTTCAAAAAGGCAAATTTCCACAATAAGGTCATGAATTTAAATATTTTTAAGGGAATGATTGGAAATTAAATCCGTAAATGGCATTAATGCGGCGTAATGACTGCTTTAATATATATTTAGCGCTTTGAATTAAGAGGTTAATTCAATTCAGCCACTTAGGTAATTGTGGTTGTAGCTTTCAAAATATGAGGTTCAATTAGGGAAGAAGGAAGTGAAAGTTAAAAACAAGTCATTCCTTTTTTTCAGCTCGCTTTGCGACCGACATCTTTAGTTCGGGTATTTTTTATTTTCACCTGATGGTTTGCCTTTGTTTTAATAACTGATCTCGTCTCATGGTTACAAGCATTTTCACACTTCACTTCAAATATAACAAGCATTTACAGGTATTTATTCATTTATTTATTTCAAATGGCAGGCTTTATGACATTTATCATTATCATTAGCCCTTAATCTTTGACTTCAGCTTCCCCCAAGAGGGGGGGGGGGTACATTTATAGCAGTTCATTAATAGCAGTTCATTAGGAGTCTTCTTGCTTCCCAGTATCTTTGGCTTTCCGTCCTTGTCTTTAGGGCTGGACACCGAATCAGGTGGGTCTTCTCCATTTCCTCATGTAGGTTGCATAGAGGGCATGTGGGTTGAGTGTATACTCCCAATCTGTGAAGGTGTTTTGCCAGGCAATCGTGTCCGGTACGTAGTCTAAACTCAGCAACGGCTTCGATTCTTGGCCAGTCGGGTATGTCGGAGAGTGCCACTGTCCACTGTTTCTCCTTTGTTCGAGCTTTGAGTTCGTTG